AAAAACCCAACATATATTATATTTGTATAAGTTTTCTGCCAATTTAACAACGCAATTAGTTTTCTAGTAATTTTTGCTTGTGATCATTAGTAACATGACCTGTATTGAAGAAAATATGAACTGTAAATATCCCCGTTCTAATTCCTCCTCTTTATGATAAATTATAGAGCAAGTGAAACTCTATAATATTTATATATATCGTATAAAATATGTATAATATGATAACTGAGCATTAATTGAAAAATATTTCAATTTGAATTGCTAATAAAATATGTATAATATGATAACTGAGCATTAATTGAAAAATATTTCAATTTGAATTGCTAATAATTCTCCAAAAATAGGAAGTAATATTTTATGCCGTCAAAAAATTATATTTTCTGCCATTTCTATACGTAAAATTCATTACTGATATTAACTTTATTCATAGTATAGCCATTAATGCAGAATGATTCTTCAACTTAAATATCAGATTCTTATTTGTTAAATAAATTATTTTTTATATCTAAATATAATTAAAAATTAGAACATTACAAGTTTTAGTAATAAATACATTTTTCTTAGATTAAGTATCTTATACCTACAATACATAATAATTAACTAAAATAAAATTTTTGAGTGAAACATACTTTGTATTATAAACTTCATTAATTCTTCTTGTTTCTCATAAGAAGAAGTATTAACTAGGTTTGGAATTTATACATTGGAAATGGTATACTTGAATGTTCAGCATGAAGTATTTCGCTATAATGTCTTCTTAAATGTTTTTTTACTGCTCCTTTAATTAATATGAAAAAAGAACAGTTTAACTAATTAGGAATACAGAATGAAACTAAATAATTATTTCAAAGTGCCATTTTAAGTCAATAAAATTATATTTCGCAGCAAGCATCTGTGCTATTAAAAAGACTTATTAAAACGCTTTTAGATACCAATATTAGATGTTGAAACCATGTAAAAGGTTTTGAGAAGGTTGTATAAGAACGCATAAGCCCTCATTTAGACAGATACGATGTTCAGCATTTGGTCACAACGAGTGGAAGAACATAATGGAGCAATTTGTCGTGGCGAATAAGAAAGACATATGTATGAGTGTACTGTAACGCAATTAGTTTTCTAGTAATGTGTGTACTGTACAGAAGCGAAGCGACAGAACTGTATATTTAGCTTGGTTGTAGTGCGGACAAGCACCTGAAACATTTCAGTAAACTTATGGTGATAATACGTATAGCCGTGCTCCAGTTTTGCAGAGGTAAAAGCATGTAAAATCGATAACACATGAGTGCTCTACAAAGCATATGTCAGCAGAAAATCCACCCGGCTGCAGATGTCAATGTTACACAAACTTGGGCAGATAGTGAACAGGTAACAGTTAGGTCTATTTGCGAGGAGATGAAAAGAACATAAGACTAGATTTGCTCAAAAACACTTGTTTTATTGTACTTCAATAGAAGGCAACAATTTGCTACTGTTACATTAGCAGGACTGTCTTAAATGGATTTATCATCACAATATTCTGCATACTTCATAGATTTTATGACATATTCCTTTTGAACATTCTGAACTCTGAAAAGGCAACTTCGCTGAAAAGGGTTCTCTGTGAATGAGGAACTAAAACACGCCAGCCTGCATTGCTAGAAAGATATCGAACCTTTTATGAACGTTGTGAAAAATGTGCTTTATATATTTGACGACATACGAAAGTAAGCTGACATCATAAATTTAAACTACGGAGGGTATAACTATATATATACATATATTTGTATTTTTACTTCATTTACTTTAATGCTTAAAATACTTAAAGAGATATACTTGAAGGAAATAAGTTAGGAACACTTTTTTCATATTATCACATACAGGGTATTTTAAACTAGCTGGAAAAAGAAAAAAATATAAAATAATTCAAAGGGTAAATAAATATAATTCTGAAAGGGTTCAGATTTTAACGTTCTCTCAAAAAGCTCTTTTATAATGAACATATTTTGTAATGGAATGTGATAGTAATATGAGATTTCTCACAGTTTCCACTTAGGAAGCGCTTCTCATTTAAGACACTTCCATTTAAGACGCTTTAGTTTATATTTTTGGAACAGCTATATAAAAAAAAATGCATACAGTTTATCTCTGCGTCCTTGAAGAGATGCATATTGTTTAATTAGCTGAGAATGACGACTTAGATCATGAACTACCGATTTCAACAGTGTCCTTTACTACTTCGACGCGCCATATCTGCACCTACATTCTTCTACTAATTCTACATATTTCTAGTGTAAAGTGGATGGAAAGTAGACACACACGTTCGTTATTGCTCTTATTCGTCGTGAGAAGAACAAATTGGTACAATAGATATAGTTCGGCGCTCGCAGGAGCCCTCTTGGGATTCGGGACGGAGATTCGGAGCTGAGACAGTGAGTGTGTCGAACGCATAGCAGTTTGCTCTTATTCTTTTGCTGAAACTGACCCCGTAACCGTAGGCGGTCAGTGATTTATTTCTTCTAACTACCTTCGGGTACTTCATAATGTCCTTTTTTATGACACCTGGTGATCTCACAGATGAAGATGAGCTAAGCGAGAGAAGTTCTGTCAGTTCTTTCAGGTCCAACAAAACTTTCCCACTAAGGAAAGAAGACTATCTGCTTTCTCCGAAGGGCAAGAAATTGAAGAAGTGAATTTGAAAGATGAACATGGACATTGCAGCGGGAACAAGCACTGTTTCGGCAGAGGATAAAGCTAAAAAATATGAAGAGTATATAAAGACCGTGCGGGATATTATCGCGGATCATGGAATTCGGAACTTCCTAGGATATTTGCGGTCTCCCAAGGATCAAGCTGCAAAGAAGCCAAGGACGTATTTAGAGCAGTCGCGCGATGTTGAAGGTTTGACTCAACAAACTAGTGATGGGGCTTGGATTTCGCCGAAGAAAACGGCCAAAGTTGTGGGAAAAGAGGAAAGGATGGAATTTTTGCAGTCTAACCGGTATGAAACATTGAGGTAGCCAAAAACCTAGAAGTAGGAGGAGCCAATCAAGAAGAAACTCCCCCACCGATCGTTTTCCAGCAGCGAAGCGTTGATTGGATGCAAATTGATGAACTTTTGCAAAAGGCGTGTGCAGAGGAATTTGAGGCTAATGTCAAGCCAACAGCGATCTACGTGAATGTTAAAACTGTAAAAGACTATGGAACTGTTACGAAGTTGCTGCAGACGAAGCGAATACCCTACCACACTTTCCGGTTGAGAAGTGAAAAACCATTAAGGGTCATTTTAAAGGACTTGCCGAACACCATCAAAGAGGAGGCTGTATTCCCTGACTTAGAAGGGAGAAAATTTCCTGTTTTAAAGGGAAACAATTCTGCCGAGGAAAGTCAAGGAACTTTGAGAAGCTGCCGATATTTCTCCTGGAATTGAAAAAGAATCAAGCTGGAAATAACATTCACCTGCTGAACAACATGTTCAGTTTTACTGTGAGAATCGAGAAGTTAAATCCCAAGAAGACAGTGCTACAGGTGTCAGGAGTGGGTTCACTCCCAGCACCTGTGCACAAATCCTGAGAGGTGTAAATGTGGGGAGCCCCATCGCAGCAAGGAATGATCGCTCAAGTCAGATGACAAGCCAACCTGCATTTATTGCAAGTTAAATCATGCAAGCAGCTATCGCGGCTGTAGTCACTATCGAAGGATATTTGAGAAAAAGAAACCGACGGTTAAACCAGCACCAAAACCTGCAGAATTTAAGCCCCAAGAAAAAGATTTTCCTGAACTCCCAACTAGGAGGAATGCTACCTCCGGAAGAAGTCTGTACACCCCTCAAGAGGAGCAAGTGAAAACATTTATTCAACCCCCACCTGAGGACTTTAAGGAAGCAGTCAATTGGTTGCAGGATGAAAAAGATAACAACATCTTACGAAGTATGATAGTGCTTATCGAAAGGATAAGAGCAGCAAAAAAAGCAGCGGACAAGTTTCGCGAAGGATATAGAGCAGTCACGATGCTCTTGAAATTTGCGGAATAATTTCCGCATACAACACTTGATCACCAGTTCAACGGCCTTTTCTGACCTTCTGTTAAAAGAATGTTTACTAGCTTAAATTTACTAGTTTTTAAAGCTAATTACTAGTTTTTATCGTATCAAAATTTTTCTTAAATACTTTAACGTTTCTTTATTTAATGCTCCTTACAAATTATTTTCTGAACAGTTAATTCATGTTAGTTCAAGACTTGTGACCAGGTTATTTTTTGTCACTTTTCGCAATAGCTTAACATGTTCTACAGGGGATAGGGCCTTTGGCCCAGGTACCCCGGGTGTCCGGAAGCACCGCTCTACTGGAGGCGCTCTCTTGCAGAGAACAAAATCGAAACTTACATAAACTCCCACCTTGAAATACTATTTCAACATTCAGTGATTAAAATTCAACAAATTCCAAAAACACAATACAATATTAAAATCATGATACAATTCTTAATTTATAATACATATAAGTTAAAACTCAAATTGGTAATGGACACAGTTTTGTAATATTTCTTTTGACTATACCATCTGAAGTCTTAATAGTCACAACCCTAACAATTTTATCAAGACCAGGATGTAACTGAGTAATTATACCCATTTTTCATTTAGTTGGAGGTAAGTTATTCTCCTTTATGACACACAGGTCATTAACTTAAAGAATTCTAGTTGGCAAAAGCCATTTTGGTCTTTGTTGTAATCGACACAGATATTCTTTGTGCCGACGCTTCCAAAATTGTTGAACCATTTTTTGAATATGTTGCCATCTAGTGAGATGGGAAACATTAACTTCAATATAATTTGGATCAGGAATACTTGTTAATGATCTACCGATAAGAAAAATGACCGGGCGTCAATGCTGATAAGTCATTTGGATCATTAGATAAATTTGTTAAAGGTGTGAGTTAAGACAAGCTTCTATTTGTAAGAGAAATGATTCAGATTCTTCATATGTATATATCGCCTCACCAACTACTCGTTTTAAATGATATTTTGTTTATTTTATACCAGCTTCCCAGAGTTCACCCACATGAGGCGCACCTGGAACGTTTAAATGCCATTTAATGCCATTATCAACCAAATATCTGCTAACGTTTTGGTTATATGTTGTAGATCTAGTAAGGCTTTCAAATTCCATGAGTCTGCGTTTTTCTCCAAAAAAATTGGAACCGCAATCTGTATATGTATCACTGCTTTTGCCTCTGCGGGAAATGAAACTCTTCAGGGCTGCAATAAAAGCATCTGCTGAAAGATCAGTTACTAAATCTAAGTGAATAGCTCTTGTCGAAAAACCAACAAATAGAGCTATATATGCCTTGAATGACCTAGAGCATCGTTTCTTGTTTGCTTTAATTTGAAAAGAAGCTGCGTAATCCACTCCATAGCGCAAAAACACAGGAACAAGTGAAACGTGAATAGATGGCAAATCGCTCATCAATTGATTAGTATGATCAATTGATGCTCTAATTCTGAAACACTTTATACATTTTCTAACGAAATCTCTGATGATAGCTCTAGCACCTATGATCCAATATTGTTCTTGAATACAAGATGAGTTGTGGACCTGCATGACTTTCATGGTAATGTCTTAACAATGCGATGGGTTAAAATGTGTAACTTTGGCAGTAAAATGGGATGCCTAAAGCCATATGCAAGGTTTGCATGTCGCAAGCGACCCTGAAAGTACCTGAATTATCTAAAAAGGGATTTAAAGATAAAACTTTGCTTGTACACAATAATGATTGATTTCTGCTTAAAGTGTTAATTCCATTCTTAAATTCAACATATGCATATTGCATTAATTTAGTTAACACGTCCATAGCTTAATTCACTAGTTTTTAAAAATCCATTTACCTTATCTTCTGAATTTCTGCGGTTATTTACAAACCTCATCAGACGTAATGCTATAACACGTTTAAGTTTGGTGAGAGCAGAATGTTAATAAAATAAATCATGAACGTCTATCAAGTGACTGACAGCAATTGTTAACTGTAAAGCACATCTTTGCTCGGAAACAGAATCATTCAGTAGTGGTGCAGTTGATACTGGCTAAAAAGGAAATAATTAATACATTAAAATGCACAGTTTAAAAAAGTAAAAAATATAATGTTCATTAGTTTTTGCTGAGATGTGCTTCAGCGCAGAATATTTTATAGAATCGTGTATAAAAACTATTTAGCAGGAAATAAATAGAAATGCAGTTTTTCCCTTGATGAATCATGGATTTACATAAATGACTACAACAAAAAAGGTCTCTATATTATCCAAGACGAAGAAGGGACAAAAATGTAAAATTCTAGTCCCGTTGATGGAAAAAAATGTTTCAGTAAGGGATTTAAATTGTCGTATGATTCTTATACAAGTTAAAAATACTAAGAGTGGAAAAAATATTAAAATCAACTCAATGTACAATCAACAGAAAGTTTTATGTCCAATATACAGAAGAAATTCCATTTGTTTGTCTGAATGGATCAAACGGTGAAAATGCTTCAAGAAAGAGCAATAAGTCATAGCTCGAAATGTACCACTGCATTTGTTGGAAAAATTAAGACTGATACAGTTATTACATTACTTTTTAAACTTATTCCTGCCAAGTCCTCTGACTTTTCACTGTGCATTTACTTTGCCTCTGGTCTCTTGGAAAGTGTTCATTCTAAGTTCAAACCCACCTAGATTGATGGGCCCTGGAATGCAGTGACTGGAAAACGGTAGCACTGGCAATTTTACGAAAAGGACTTTTATCATGGAAATCACTACGCAGATCTATAGTGCAGAATACGAGTAAATGATCCAGTCTGTTAGAGCGAGGATTTAAAAAACTATTCTTTATATTTTAAATATTAATTGAACTGTCCCGAAATTATTCTAAAAATCTGTAGACAGCCTCTATAGTTATAACAAACTTCTCAGAAAAATAATGACATATGATACATACCAGCATCAAGTTAAGATCAGTGTGCGGGGTTTCTAATATTGAACTTAAATGATTTGACACAATAGTAAATTCTCTAATGTTATTAGTTCCTTTTATAAGCATAATATTTAACTGAATATTTAGTAGCCACTTGGAGAATCAGGAATTGATATAAATGAAGACCTAATATCTCAAACTTTACATTGTTTCATTAGAAATTTCGTAATGATTTTTAAAAATGTGGTAATAGTTCCTTAATGAATGTAGTGCAAATCAATAAAAAAATTTTATATTCCGTAATTAAAATAAACTGATTTTTGAACTGTTCAATCATTAGGGTTTTTTTTTTTTTTTTTTTTCGTCCAAAGGGACTTTGTCTCTGAAGGACTATTGTTTTCGTTTTGCGATTTTGCGTTGGTTCATTATAAATGTCCGTTTCATTTTTAAAACTGTTGCCACCAAATGTTAGAGTCCTACATTATATTCGAAGAAATTAGATAATGAAAAATCTGCATAGATGTATGCATATTTCTCAAATTGTGATAAAATAACCATACATAGATCCATCGAATTTTAAATGACGTAATCCTCTTACAAGTATGGGGAAGCCCAAATTTGAAATTTGAAATTTGTTTTATTATGGATTTCATATTTTGTAAACCTTTAACGAATTTTTGATCAACAAACTCAAGGATTTCAAAGCGAGCAATGGCAACGTTGTACAAAAAGAAAAAAATAAATTATCTCCAACGCGTGAGTCTCTGTATCGGAAATTCTAAAGACATATTCATTTTAAAACTATATTGCGATAGTGCGATTGAATTGACTTTTATGGTTTAAGTGCGAAGAACGTAATATTTAATAAATACATGTATCACACAAAATGTTCAAAAACGTCCCTTTGGACATAATTTAAAATCTGAAACCTTTCAGATTTTCTTTCTTATAGTATTTTTTTAACATTTTGTCTGTTAATTCATTTTTCTTTTCAAAAGCAGAAGACTTGAAAAATGTGCAATGTCGTTGCCAGGACTAGAACCCTGGACCTCTCAAATACGCGTTGGTATGCTTTCAATTACGCTACGAAGGTATGATAAAAGGAGAGAGAAAATATCTTAAGATATAGCTTATCCTCCTTTTAAAATAACCATATCCTTATCCCTGTCTCTTTGCCTTTAAAAAATAACTCATCCCCTTTTAAAGAGCGAATGGGGACCCAATCATGAAATTGTGGCGGTGACAAATTATCGTCCAACAGGGTTTGGGCGCCATTTGTAGAGTCATTAGGTTTTTTAAAGCAGGAGACATGAAAATGGGCAAAGCCGTCACGGGCACTTGAACCCTGGAGCTTTTGAATACGCATTGAATATGCTTCAAAGTACACCACGAAGGCATGCGGAATGCAGGGACAAAATGCCTTATATTGACCCATTTTCAATTTTAGGGTATAAATGATAATAATGTAACATTTTTTCCTTAATGTAAATAGATAATGAAACCTGTACTTAATTCCCTAAAATTTCTTGGCATAACAAGCTAATTAAATTTGAATAATTAAATCGCATTACTGAAAAATATTCAAAAGGGGATAAAAGTATGAAAAGCAAGTAAATGAATGAATTTCTTTACTAATATGATGTAGTACTGACTTTTGCATTCAAACTCTTCAGAAGTGACGAAAATACTGCCATTTAGTTGTCAGATAGTGAAACGCTATACCATTCCCCCTGTAAAACTTGCTTAATTCCTTGTAAAATTGCTGGGGACATATAATGCACTTAAATCCTGTTTTCATAAGCTGGCTCTAGGAAACATATAATATTCAGGTGAAGGGACCCTAGAAGATTAGAAATGCCATTAATTTGCTCTGCAGATCACGAGTGGATGAGATGTATGAATTGGGGGCTAAATTATCTTGATAAATGATATCTTTACTGGAAACAATGTTTGCACAACAGGGTAGATTTGGTAACTCCAATTACTTACACAACCCTTAGTGGCGATATGACTTGACAAACTAATAATATGGCCTGTAGATTATTATTATCAAATGGCTGTTCAACCATGGCTGAACCTTCATTAATGTACACGACAGGAAGAATCAATAGCATGAAAACAGTAAGTTCGGGATGTGAACTTGCACATAGTTTAAAATCGTGACAATCGATAAATAGACTGGATCATAATCTTCATTGTATTATTTTTCAAGTTGCTCTAATTTCTTCTCATTCAATTATTATTTCCATTAGTTAGTGATTTCGCAACCACAAATTCACCGTAAATTCTTCGCTGAGTTTTTGTTTTGCAAAATGAGAAAGCACGTTATTTAACCTTTTAAAACCTGGCTTAAATTCTCATAATACCTCTAGGAAGGCGAGATCCAAAACACTTTTCTCCCTTCCTTTACTATTCCTTAATGACAAAAGTCATTAAGGATGGTCATTTTTCCCCCTCCGTAGATGCCATGGAGGTAGGAAGTTAGACCTTTCTTGCCTCCATGGTAGATGCAGTGAAATTTACATGTTTGTCAGACGCTGGACAATAGTGTCTATGTAACATTTACTATTTCTGATTAATCTTGGCAAAAATTTGTGAATTTTATGTCTTTCTTTCTACTAGAAATTAAGGAGCGAGAACATAACTTGACGAAATATAACAAATATGAACTAGCTTTATATGCCTGAAGGTCGGAATGCAATATTTGATAATCTATTTTCATTAATAAAATAATAGTAGTAAATAATTTAATGAATTCATAATAATAATCATTACTATTAGATGATTCATTGCTATTAGATTTTAAGATAAGCTTATAGTAAAAACGCTTTACAGTTTTCTTTTTCATAATTTTGCTATTGTAATATAAAAAAGAAAATCAGAGATATATTAGTTAAAAAAGTTTCACTTTGGACTATCGGGCAAAGGAGGTATATCTGTAGAAAGAATTTGCTTTATAAAATTGGATTTTGTTTACGTTAGTAGGGGAAAAATTCTCTTATGAGATAATATCTTAAATATTTGCATTTTCGTGGTGTCCGTACAGAGAGAGAGAGAGTTTTAGACTTCTTTTTAATATTTGCTGAAGAGAATTTTAATCTATGATTTAAAATTTTACGTAATAATTTTTTCTAATTTATTTTAAAAAGATTAATCTTTCATGCTTTCAAAAGAATAATGTCATACAGAGTGTTGACATTTACAGTGTAGGAAATCTGTTTTTTATATTTCTTTCAGTGATTGAAACGATTACCCAGGAATATTTTCAAAGCAAAATTAAGAAAATTGTTCATGACAAATTTTTCATAAGGTATCCTCTTATGGGTCAAAAATTGGTATGTCAATTAAATCATTCGTGGGCCAATAATCTCGAACGCTATCTTTTTCAATATTTGCCATCAGTAAAACTAATCAAAAAAATTTCTGAAGCTCATCAGATGTAACTGGCGTCCAGTCCATGCCTTTTTTTTTGCTTTCATGCTTTTCATTTGGCCGCAACTCTAATATTTGAGAAGCATATCGATTAGTTTCTCTGGTTAAAATTTTAAACAATTCATCTGAAAAGTATAATTTTAAAATTCAACAGCAAGATGAGTTTCGGAAATTTCAGTCTTTATAACAGGATTACCAATAAAGGTCAATAGGTTAGCTTTGTCATGTTCATTTTG